CAGCAATGAATGAATGGAAATCCAAAGTCTCTGTAAACTTTCAGTAAAATTAATTTTTTAAAATGGGGGTGGGGGGAGGAAGGAGCCCATGCCTGGAACCCAAGGACCAGAGTTCAGACATAAGTCCACAATTTTCAAATGGTGTGATTATAAGCAAACCTTTAAAATCTTCAACTCTGTTTTCCTAATGATAAAATGAAGAATTGGGTCTAGATCATTTCATAAGAACCCTTCAGTCTACTATTGAATTCATGATTTCATATGGCTCACACACATGAAATCAAGGCTTTTATTTTTATAAAAGTGACAGCTTTAGCTGACTCAACTTCCTCAAACAACACATAAACAGACACTATTCCACACTCTAAATCAAATAAAAGACGAATTGCATTAGGTAAGTCTGCTCTCAGAGACATCTTCAAAGCACTGAAGAGCAACAATATCAGTCTGGAGACTAGGGTGTGCCTGATTCAGGCCATGGCCTTTGCAATTACTTGCTATGTGTCAGAAAGCTGGACAATGACTAAGGATGATAGAAGGAGAATTGATGCTGTTGAGCTCTGGTGCTGGAGAAGAGTATTAAATATACCATGGGCTGCTAGGAGAACAAATAGATTCATCCTAGAGAGGGTGAAACCAGGCTGCTCCTTGGAGGCAAGGATTCTGAAGCTTCATCTGACATACTTTGGACATGTTGCAAGGAGGGACCCTCTTTGGAGAGGGACGTCATGCTCAAGACGGTGGAGGGGCGGTGCAAGAGAGGAAGACCCTTGATGAGATTAATTAATTCAGTGACTGGGCAGTGGGGGTAGGTGTGTTAGAGACAATAAATTGGCACAGGATCGAGCATAGTTTAAGGCTGTTATACATAGAGTCACTATGAATTACAAACGACTTGACGGCACATAACAACAACAACAAATGAAATAAGATTACCTCGTTTCTGCTCGAGGAGTTTACAGTATAGTAAAAGAATAAGAATGAAGAAACTTCTAGTACAAAATAAGAAATAGTAAGTTCTGTAAGAAAAAAGCAGATAAAGTGAAATGGGAGTTCATAAGAGAAAGCTTTTGAACAGAAGAACATAACTCGGCGATTTGAAAGGTTACATAGATGAGGTAACATATGAACCAAAATGTGACTAGAAGGTTTGAACATGTTGCAATGGACACCACAATTAGCATTACAAGGTGTAAGGATTAGCTCGTGATAAAAGAGAGGGGTGGGAACCCATAAAAATGTCTAGGGAATGTACCACTATTACTCAATCTCTTCATTTGTTGGATGGACATTTGTGCTGTTTCCATATTCTTGCTATTGTGAATAATGCTGCTATGAACTTATTGTTTTTGTTGTTGTTTTGATTGCCGGCAAGTTGAGCATGACTCATAGCAACCCTATGAACAAAAGACTTGAACCATTTCTATAACTATTGTCATTTCTCTAAGTTCTTAGAGTTTCCAGAGGCGTGGTGTTTAGGAAGTGGATGCCACTGCTGTTTCCAAACCTTTCTTAATCTAGGAGCTCCACCAAACACTGCCCACCATGGGTAATCATTCTGGCATAGTATACAAATCTCCATTTGTTTCTCAGTTCTAAGTTCTTTTGGGTATATTCCTAGTAGTGCAATATCTGGGTCATATGGGATTTCTCTGTTCAGCTCTTTGAGAAAACACAAAACTGCCTTCCAGAGTGTACCATTTTATAATCCCACCAGCCATGTATGAACATTGCAATCTGTCTACATCTTCCCCAAAATTTATTGCTTACTGTCCTGTTAAATTTTGTTACTGCTACTGAGGTGACACCGTGGTTTTTATTTGCAACCTACATTCATAAAATTCAATATTGTGTACCACTAAGGAGCACTGATTTAATAAAATACTACATAACCTGGGAGAGAGGAGAGAACATTATGCTGATTGAACTAACTCGGTCTCAAAAGACAAATACTGTATAAGACCATTACTGTAAAAATAGAAGCATAAAGAGTTAGATGTGTATAAAAGTCTAGAAGGGTAAGGGGCCAAGGGACCAGAAAAATGGAGAGAGAGGGAGATCACTAGTAAAGTAGAGTTTAGAGGGTGGATGAGGGTGGGAGGAGAACTAGGAAAGGTCCAATAGGGGTCTGAAAAGACAAGATAAGCATAGACCAATGGTAATTAATCTTATCAAACACAAAGTATGTGAAGGAATGAAATACCGTGTGAATGAAAGAATGTGTGAATCACAGTGAATGTGAATGAAACACAATATATACAAATTTTGTATGCAAACCGATATAAAATAATTTGTTTTTTAAAAAATGAGTATATTGTGAATGGGAGTTAGATTGGGATGACTGTCAGAAAAGGGGGTGAAAAGAATAAAACAGATAAATCTGTACACATGAGTTGGATGAGATAAGAGCCAAGAGGGAACAAGATGTTAGCTTTCCTTCATTGTCCCCAGGGCTCACTTATTGTCTTCTTTCCCAGGCAAGCATTGGAGGATGCGGTCAGATGAAAATGAACAGCATCTCATGGTCAAGCGCACCATTCTCCATCCCCAGTATAATCCCATCACATTTGAGAATGATGTGGGTCTGGTAGAGCTGCTGCAGAGCCCAATCCTGAACGACTACGTCATGCCCATCTGTCTGCCTGAGGAGCTTCCTGAAAAAGGTATCACCTGCATCCATCTTTGCAGAGCAGCTGGTGCTTCAGCAGGGAGCTCTCCTGCTCATTCAGTTCTTCTCTGGAGTTAGTGAGACTCTGATGTGAGCATAGCTTGTGCCTGAATAACTGAGAGGGAGGACTCACGCATGGCTTCCTAGCTGCCACCCCTAAAACAGCTAAGTCAGAGCTTGTTCTAAGGCAGACTGGGATGCTGGAGAAGTACTAGCTAAAGCAGGGTCCAGACAGGAAAGCAGAAATCACATCAGTTACTTCAACAGAGATCATTTTATATAGTGTTTTGAGAGACTTAAGAAATAGAAAAGAAGTGGCTTGGTACTAGAGATGGTAACTCTAATAAGAAATTACCTCTTCAAAAGTTGAGAGAACAAAGATAAGATATTGGAGTTACAGACACTAGAAGTATGTAAAAGGGGACTATGAGCTAGAAACTTCGATGTCTGCAGAAGAGATTCCATATAAATGATACCATAGACAATAACTGGAGGTTAGATTCCATTTCTGCTGCTAGGGGGAACAGTCCCTTTCTAGAGGGACACCATCAGTGACAGTAAATCTTCTCGTCTCCTTGGAAATGCCCCATATTTCCAGAAAACAAGCTGTCAGGCAGAACTACCATTTCAGAGTCCTCTCACAAAGTCTAACATAGAAGGATAAGTTTGGAGTTGAGGCATAGTAACTTAACAACCACCACAGGTTCAAATCCAGCACTACCATTTCTTAATTGCATGACATTGAAAAGGTTATGTAAGCACCACTAACTCAAAAAATGCCACTGCTCAAAACAATTCTGTGAGACAAAGTAGAATGGTCCCATAGAGTTTTTGAGACTGTATCTTTAAGGAAGCAGAGACTCATCTTTCCTATACGGAGCATCTGGTGGGTTTGTACCACTCTCCTGTTATCAGCTCAGCATTTTACACCATCATGGCTCCCTTACTTAACAACCTCTGGCCTCTAAACCATAGTTCATTTCCTGAGGATGCTTATGTTTAAGTGAGATAATATTTAAACATAGCCAACGTGCTTGGAAGGGTAGAAGGACAGCGCAGGAGAGGAAGACCCCAGATGAGATGGATTGGCACAGTAAATGGAGTACGGAGGGTACGTGTATCAGAGACAGTGAGATTGGCTCAGGAGAGAGCAAGGTTCAGAGCTATTGTGTACAGAGGTGCTATGAGTCATAGCCAACTCAATGACATAGCATAACAAAGACATAAAGTAAGAAGAGTTCAACTCATGCCAGTTTGCATCTTTTCTCAACTCCTAAACTCAGTAATGTTATATTCATTATTCACTGCCTGTATAGTTCAAAGGTGATGTCAAAATACTAGCCAAGATGGAATCGAGAGTTAGTCATGGAAACTGACCCAATAGGTAAGTCACAGGTATGCTGTGATTCAACGGAAGTCACGTGCCTACCTCATGCCATTGCCTCACATTCATGAACTTATTTACAATCCAGAAAAGCCTTCTGAGGTGGTATTGTAGCCTCATTTTAAAGATCACAGGAAAACTCGACAACTCAACTCATTGTCATTGAGTTGAAACCTTCTCATAGCTGAGCCTCTGGAGACTTTTCGGAAACTGTAAATTGCCCAAGAGGAGGTTGTCCACCTTTCTCCCACAGAGCAGCTGGTGAATTCAAACTGCCTGCCTTTGTGTTGGCAGCACAACTCTGTACCCCAAGGCCCGTGAAGTGCCCGATAAGAAAACTAAAGCTCAGCAAAGTGAAAGGACTTTCTTAGGGCATTCTGGGGCTACAGTACAGGTTTCCAACTTTCTGCCCAGTGCTGTTTTCAGTATCCAGGCTCTTTTTCATCTGAGAAAAGAATTACTCTGTCAGCATTCAGTTTATTTCTATATAACCCCACAGATTAGCTAACATCATCGACTTCTAGAATACTAGAACTTGAAGTAGTCTTAGCTTCTTTATTTTATAGACAGGGAAATAGAAACTCCAGAGGGATCGACAGAGACAGGATCTGTTAAACACAACATGGCCTGTTGTTGACTAAGGGGAACGTTTTTATTTATTTATTTATTTGTTTGTTTGTTTGTTTGTTTGTTTGTTTGTTTTTACAAACAAAACTGAATAATTTGTCTTTTATTATCCAAATATTAGCATATGTACTCTATGTACACTATTCTTTGCATTTTCTTTTTTTTCTATTTTTTTTTATTGGGAAAAACATATTGGGAGTACAAGGAGGTGAGGGTTGGGAGCAGAAGGGTGAGGATGGACCAGGATGCAGTTGCAGAGCGGCACAGCTTGGTCGGTGGGGGGAGCAGGTGAAGGAAATGATGAGGGTCCAGAGGGGACCAGATACTACAGAGGAACGACAAGCATTTTCCAATGGTAATTAAACCAACTGTCTTATTGAT